TGCTTGGGAGCGGGGTGGACTAGTTGATCTACAAGGTCCCTCTGTTAAGTTGTAAAAAAGGCACTGGAAGATTTTAAAAAGAGACTGGACAGCCATTTGCCAGGAATGGTGTATGGTCTCCTGCTTGAGCAGGAGGTTGAACTAGAAGGACCAGGGGAGACTGGAGAGCATTTTCCAATAGTTGAGGGGCTGCCCCAGAGAGGAGTTAGGGGGTCAAGCTATTCTCCAAAGCACCCAAAGACCAGAGAAGGAAGAATGGATGGAGTCTGACCAGGGAGAGATTCAACCTGGAAATAAAGAGGAATTTCCTGACAGGGAGAACAAACAACCCATGGAACAGAAGTTGCCTTCGGAAGTTGTGGGAGCTTCATCCCTGGAAGCTTTCAAGAGGAGACTGGACTGGTGTAGGGTCTCCTGCTTGGACTAGATGACCTCCAAGGTCCCTTCCAACTCTGTTAATCTAATCTAATCTAATCTAAATCCTCTCCTCTACAGGAGTCCTCCCGCCTCTGCCATGTCCACCAAGAGTCCAAGGAGAAGCCCAGGGAGCCAAAGACCACGAGGGTGAATTCAATCCTACTTATGCACAGTGAGTCCTCGACTTACGGCCGTTCATATAATTACAATTGGCAATTACAACGACCCTGGGAAAAAAGTGGCTTAGGGTCGTGCTTCACACTTAGGGACCATCACAGCATCCCCAAAGGCACACGATTAAAATTCGGACACTTGGCAACTGAGTTGTATTTATGACGGTCGCAGTTAACCAGCCAAGTCAACGAAACCAGGTTCACTTAAGAACCACAGTGGCAAGGAAGGCCGCAAAATGGGGCAAAACACTGTCTGACTTAGCGATGGAAATTTTGGGCTCAGTTTTGGCCTTAAATCAAGGACTACCTGTGTGTGCAGGTAAACTTTGATTTATGACTGGTCATTTAGCAACTGTTTGAAGTTACGACAAACTTCCCCAGAGGTATTTATAAAACCCTTCTGAAATTTAGTGGCGGTTACATTTTGGACGTTCAGCAACTGGCCCGCTTTTACAACTGTTTGCAGCTGCTTGGGGATGCTGTAATGGTTGTAAGTGTGAGAACCTGTCATGAGGCATTCGTTTTCACTGCTATTCTAGCTTCGAACGGTCACTAAATGAATTACTGGTAGTCCTTGACTTACAACGGAACCCCAAATTTATGTGGCTCAATGAAACATTTCTTAAATGAATTTCGCCACCCTTTGCGACCTTTCTTGCTATAGTTGTTAAGCGAATCAGGTTTCCCCATTGACTTTGTCAGAAAGTCGCCAAAGGGGATCGCGTGACCCTCGGACTCTGCGACCATCATAAATATGAGTCAATTGTCAAGTGTCTGAATTTTTATGTACGTGCCCCTAGGGAGGCTGGAAAGATGCCGATGAAACTTTGAACAGTCACTAAATGAACTGTCATAAGTCAAGGACTACTGGTACTGTTATTGAAGGATGATCTATACTGCATCTTGGTGAACCCCGAAGCTCCTCAGGTGTCCTTATACCTAGAATACTGAGGTCCAGGTGAAGACCAGAAGCTCCTCAAGTGTCCTTATACCTAGAACACTTAGGTCCAGGTGGGGATCTGGAGATTCTCAGGGGTCCTTACCTAGAAATTTCAAGGCCATTTGAAGACCAGAAACTCCTCAGATGTCCTTACCAAGAACCTTGAGGACCAGGTGGAAATCAGAAGCTGCTCAGGGTTTTTTTACCTAGAACCTTGAGGACTAGGTGAAGACCAGAAACTCCTCAGATGTCATTACCTAGAACCTTGAGGACCAGGTGAAGACCAGAAGCTCCTCAGGGGTCTTTACCTAGAACCTTGAGGGCCAGGTGATGATCAGAAGCTATTCAGGGGTCCTTACCTAGAAACTTCAAGGCCATTTGAAGACCAGAAGCTCCTCCGGTGTCCTTACCTAGAACCTTGAGGGACAGGCGGGACTCGAAGTTGCCCCGGGGGAAGGTGATGAGCTGGCATTCGTAGGCGCCCTCGTCAGCCTGCACCGCGTTCTTCAGCACGATGGAGCCGTTCACCAGCGACCCCTGCGCCTGCCGCTGCACCCGGCCAATGTAGGCCTTCTCGATGTGGACCCCATGCTCCGAATTCAGGACTGCCACCTCCACGCGCTTCCCGCCGTCCACTCGCTTCAGCCAGGTGACCTGCAGCACCGCCTCACCCTGCGTGGCCTGGTAGCCGCATGGCAGCACCACGTCTGTGCCAAACACCGCTGTCACGCTGCTCGGGGTCTCCAACACTCGGGCCAGCAGACCTGGGGAGACGGGAGAAAGGAGGGAGGGTGTGAATGGGGAGGGGAGTTTCCCAAATACAATCTCTTAAGAAAAAAGAAGGCGTGATTTTGGAAACCTGCCATGCCCTTCTCCTTGTGCTTAAAACCTGTAGCAGGGGTGTCCAAACTCAGGAACTTTAAGACTTGTGGACTTCAACTCCCAGAATTCCCCAGCCAGATGGCTGGGGAATTCTGGGAGTTGAAGTCCACAAGTCTTAAAGTTCTGGGAATTGAAGTCTACAAGTCTTAAAGTCCCCAAGTTTGGACATCCCTGGAGATTAAACCATATGAAGAACGGCTGCAGGATGTGGGTGTGGCTCGTCTAAAGAAAAGAAGAATTAGGGGTGACAGGATAGCAGTCTTCTAGTATTTGAGGGGCTGCCACAAAGAAGAGGGAGTCAAGCTATTCTCCAAAGCCCCAGAAGGCAAGAAACAATGGGTGGAAACTAATCAAGGAGAGAAACAACCTAGAATTAAGGAGAAACTTCCTAATAGTGAGGACAATTAGCCATTGGAACAGCTTGCCACCAAAAGTTGTGGGTGCTTCATACTTCATACTGACCGAGAAGGAGGCTCAGCAGAAGCACCTCACTGAGGACTAGGAGCATAGGCTTTCCAAGCAGACCTGCGTGAGCGCAAGGCCAGGTACCGGCACCTGAGACTCAGTGGGCTGAGATGGTCAGCCAATTCCAGGCCATGATGCAGTCCCACTGAAACGAGGCTCTCTGGCTCTTCGCCACCAGTGTTGCTTCTCTCCAGCCTTTGCCCAAAGCCCCTCACCAGGACCCCCAAGTCAGAAGGGCTGCCCCCCTCCGACCTGCAATATGGAACGCACTGTCTTAGTGTCTAAGATGCTGAGCTTGTTGATCAGAAAGGTCGGCAGTTCGGTGGTTCGAATCCCTAGTGCCGCGTAACTGAGTGAGTTCCTGTGACTTGTCCCAGCTTCTGCCAACCCAGCAGTTCAAAAACACGTAAAAATGCAAGTAGAAAAATAAGAACCCCTTTGGGGGGGAAGGGAACAGTGTTCCGTGCACCTTTGGCATTGAGTCATGCCAGCCACGGCGACATCTTCGGACAGCGCTGGCTCTTCGGCTTTGAAATGGAGACGATATCCATCCCAGGGGCCGTACTTTGAGGACCCCTGACTCAGTGCAATATAAAAAAACGCAAATAATTTTTCTGGGGACCACCAAAGTTTTCTTGCCGACCCCCTGTTCTAGTTCATCCCCTGCACAAGTTCATAGAGTCATGGGGCTGGAAGGAATCTTGGAGGCCCTCTAGTCCAGGGATGGCGAAACCTTCTCACAATTCAATGCAGCCTACCCACCCCGCCCCGTGCATGCATGCGCAACTTCCGGTTGATTCACTCGGCCTGTTTTCTCCCCTCCCTAGGCTCCGGAGTCTTTCTTGAAGCCTGGGGAGTGGGAAAACAGCCTCTCCTGGGCCTCTGAAGGCCGAAAATGAGCTGGCTAGCACACCCATGCATGCCAGAGATGACGGCTCATGTGCCACCTGTGCCACAGGTTCCCCATCCCGGCTCTAGTCCAGGCCCATGCACAAGGCGAGAACCACACTGCCTTCTGTATCTCCTTCGAGCCCCACTGTCAACTCCGAGTCAGCTGCAAGTTGCGCGCAGCCAAGAAAATGGATAGGCCTGGGAGTCCAGCTGAACCTGCCTGCACAGAGGCTGAGGTTTTGCCCCGGCTTGTCCGGAACTTGCACTTCCCTCCCCCCTGCCATTGTTTCTTCCCCACAACACTGGTAGGAGTGGCACATCTCTCTCTCACACACACAAACACACAGCCCTGGGTGTGTACAGCAAATTTCTTTCGTTTTTTTAAAGAATGGAATGGAACGGAACAGGGGTTGGTTTGAGCCGGCGTTGCTGCAGGTTCGCTTGTGTGTGCGCTTCACGCATGCGCTGGAGGCGCCCTGTGTATGCATGCACAGTTCAATAGAAATTGTTCTGTGCCTGTGCAGAACAAGATGGCGGCGGCGACTGCGGCAACTGGGGGACTGGTTCGGAGGGCGTGGCCAACCTGGGTGGCTGCCGGTTATGCGACCCAGGCCGGCATGGCACTGGCCGTTTGGCCGAACCGGGCTGAACTGGTAGGAACCCACCCCTGGAATGGAATGGAATAGAATTAGAATAGAAAATATATAACAGAATAGAAAATATATAACAGAATAGAAAATATATAATAGAATAGAAATAGAATAGAATATGGAATGGAATGGAATAGAATTAGAATAGAATTAGAATAGAAAATATATAATGGAATAGAAAATATATAATAGAATAGAAAATATATAATAAGAATAGGAGTATGGAATAGAAATAGAAATTATATAGAATAGAATATGGAATGGAATAGAATATGGAACAGAATTAGAATAGAAAATATATAACAGAATAGAAAATATATAACAGAATAGAAAATATATAATAGAATAGAAATAGAATAGAATATGGAATGGAATGGAATAGAATTAGAATAGAATTAGAATAGAAAATATATAATGGAATAGAAAATATATAATAGAATAGAAAATATATAATAAGAATAGGAGTATGGAATAGAAATAGAAATTATATAGAATAGAATATGGAATGGAATAGAATATGGAACAGAATTAGAATAGAAAATATATAAGAATAGAAAATATATAATAGAATAGGAGTATGGAATAGAAATAGGATAGAATATGGAATGGAATAGAATATGGAATGGAATGGAGTAGAATTAGAATAGAATTAGAATAGAAAATATATAATGGAATAGAAAATATATAATAGAATAGAAA